GAGATAAATAATTCTGAAAACTCTCTTTCCTTCCATATTGCAGGTCGGTTGCAAAAGGTGCTTTTCAGCTTATGGGGCGGTTAAGATGGTGTCTACAGACCTTGTAGTGCAAATGTAAAACAACTCCCTTTTTGGAGCGGAAAAAGAGGATGCTAAACAGGAAATTACGTTATTGCATGCAGAAATGCTGTAATCTCCTAAATCTGGACATCTACCTAGGAAAACAAGTGGGAGTGGGATAGACAAGTCTGACAGAGGTGGGACTTAGACAGAGCGCAGATTTCTACCAGGAAATTTAAGCAGTTAATGTCAGCGCCTGGTTTCTGTAGTTTCTTTTCAAGCTCACATGGGATCAACTTTCCTGTTGGAGGTGGATTTCCTGTTGAAAAAGTGAAGTTCTAATTGAGATGTCTCAAGATTTTAAAGACAGGCTTTTACAAACCCAGGCATGTGCTACTGGCTGCTATGTGGCAAGCACTTCTCCAGTTTGGAGTGGAAAAACTAACCCTGGAATCGAGGAAATGTTCTCTGTGGAAGTTGCCAAGCAAATGTTTCCAGAAAATTATGTTCTGTTTTGGCATTTAATGGTTTGTTTTTGTTTTATTTTATTTTTTAATCAAAATATTTTTGGTGATCTTGTAAAGCCCATTTCTCTATGGATTTACCATGATTTTTTTGGGTTCTCCATAGTTGTAAGCATAGAAGGGGATGTAGAGAAGGTGGATGTTGTAGAGCTCTCTGTTTAGTTGGGGTGACCTATTTGGATCAATACCAGAGGTAAATGCATTACTTAGACTAACATTCCATTTTACAAAAAAATAAAAATAGAAGAAAAAAGCAGCATATTCATAGAATCATGGGATGGTTGGAGCTGGAAGGGACCTTAAAGCTCATCTAGTTTCTATCCCCCTGCCATGAGCAGAGACTCCTTCCAATACATCAGTTTGCTCCAAGCCCCTGTGTCCAACCTGGCCTTGAACACTGCCAGGGATGGGGCAGCCACAGCTTCTCTGGGCACCCTGTGCCAGCGCCTCAGCACCCTCATAGTAAACAGTTTCATCCTAATGTCTAATCTAAATCTACTCTTTCAGTTTTAAACCATTCCCCCTTGTTCTATCTCTTACGCCCTTGTAAAATGTTCCTCTCCATTGAATATCTTATGCACCCAGTCCATAAAAATGAACCAGAGAGGGCTTTATAAAGTTGCAGAAATGTGGTGACAGCAAGTGCAAAGCAAGAAGCTGAGTATTGTCTAGAAGTTATGGTAGCAGACTGATGCCAGAACACCTGCCTTTAAGCGTTCTGGTCCCCCCGACTCACATTGTGATGCTGGGGGAGACTTAGGCCTGGGCTGACTGAAATCAGTCACCAATCCAGGAAACCATCCAGGAAAAATAGAAGTGCTTTCTTGGTTCAGAGCCCGAGATTGTGAGACCGCCAAAGGGTTGAATATGTCTCCATGGTGCTATAAAGTGCTGAGAACACTGTTAGGTATTATCAGATAATAGTAATATTTTATTAGGTGGTAACAGTGTGTGCTTGAAACCTCTGAAAAGCAGGCTGCAAATATTGAGTTTGGGTATGAATAGCTACCCTTTGTACTCTAATTTGAACATATGGGTCTGAGGGTTTTTTTTAGTAGCAGTAGTAGAAGTAATTTATCTCAGTGACACAGAATCAATAGGCATTTAGAGAAAGTATTGGGATATTTGGGTGAAAAGCTCTGTGTAGGTGCAAAGCATTATTGAAGTGATGCAACTGTCTATTTGCCTGAACCTAGGTACCATTTTGTGTAGTCTGATGAGCTACCCAGACGTGCTGATCTGCAATGTGAATAGCTGGAGGCCCACACCAACATCACTCATGGATCAGATATGTCAAGGTGTGACCTATGATGAAAAAGAGAAGCTGTTTTCCTTCACCCTGGGAGGACAAATGTTCAGTGGAAGTATGTCAATGAATTATCTCAATTTACATTTGAGGTTACTTTAATTTGATTTAAATTAAATTTGAAATTATTTATATTACTTTTCTTTAATTCTTGCATAGCTCCTGCCTTTTTCACCAGTCTGCTCTTGTACTTCAGTGCTTTTTTCTCAAGTAAACCCCTACGTGTACAATCACAAGAGAATGAGAACTCTCTAACTGGATGCATTGTTAGACAGATGGACCTCTCGTATTTTACTGTGTGAACATTGATGAAAGTCGAGAATGTGTTTAGTATGTCACCCTGTAATAGTTCCAGTGTTTAATTAGGGCACATTCAAGCCAATAGACTGAAAGAAAGGTAAAGTCTGAAGCAAAGATGAAAAGATACCCAGAGCTCCACAATAAAAACAGTGATGGATAATTAAGCTTTGGCACCCTGGACCCAGACTAGCACCAGCATATGCGGGACCTTCCTCCTTAGCATCTTCTATTGTAAATAAGGGGGAGCATTGTCTAATGACGTGATTTTAATGCAGTTTCTGAGCATTTCAATATTACCTGTTTAATTTGAGCAGCTGTTCTAATAAACTTTTTTCTTTATTAGCTTCTAAGTTGGTAGAAGAGGCAGAAAGAAATTTTACAACCTTTCAGGAAGTTTACCTGTGGAAAGGTGAGTTATCCCATAGAATTTGTTAATAAAAGCTTATGATGAACTGTAGGCAGTGGCAGATGTGTGGTCTATGATGAAAGTGTCATTCTCACTTTATTTTATAATGTCCAAATTGAAACACTACTCAAAAGTCCTTTCTGGCAGGGGTGGGTGTAACCTGGAGTAATTCTGCTACTGTAGTTTCAGGATACTTTTGGGTAAATTCTTGTGTCTGAGAATATACTTTATAACTTTTACTACCTGTGAAAATAGCATCATGGAGACATTTACCTTTCTCCCATCAGTGTCCAGGTACCATAATAATTTGGCACTTTATACATAACTATATAGGTTATTTTTCTTAGCGTGATAACCCTGTATGTGTTATTTTTGCAAGTTTGCTTTGTGAATGTCACAATGTCCATAGCAGGACCTGCCAAATGATTTGTGGTGCTGCTTTACAAACGCACGCAACCTCCAGAGCACTGATGCTGAATGCATAGTGATTGTGGATATCACGTTTGCTTTTATCCTCCAAACAGCATGTTTTGATTTAGGTTTTCTCTAGAGTTATATGGAGATGGGTTTACTCATATTTGTTTCAATAGTTGGAAGGATTATCTAAGTTTATCTAAATGGTGCATGTTAAAATATTTGTCAAATTTTGGGAACTGAGGATGATATAGTCTTGTGGAAGAAAAATAAAGGGAATTACTATGCTCTTTAATTCCTGTTTCATTCCAGGCTCTGATATGCTCACCCGGACTAAAACCTCTGCATGCAATGCTACTGCTTTGAAGACAGACAACAATCTGGTGTTATCAGGTATTATAGTAAGGGTAGACAGAGAAGACAGCAGAAGATATCAGAGTTTAACCAGAAAAAAATCATATATTGCCATATGTGTGTCATGTGATATTAGTATTGTGAAGTCCAGTGGTTTTCTTTTAGGTAAGATATCCAACAAAGTTTTGAGAAACATGTTCAGGATGTGAGCCTCCTCTCTCTGTTTTTTTACCTTCCTAGGGCAGGCTGGAAATGAAAGTGTTAAAATGTTCTCTGAAAGCTTGTTCTTTCAGACTTACTGAACTGTAAAGACTCAGGAAATACTGTTTGTCTGAACAAAAATGTCGCATAAACCTAGGAATCAAATCCTTAGCCTGGGTACCTGAGCATATTTATTGCTGCTGACAATGACTGTAAATATGATGCTTAGAGGAACTCAGGATGAAACTGCAATCTCAACTTTTTCTTCCATGCATTATGAAAGTGAGGGACCTGTGAAGTTCTCTAGCTCCTTTTTTATTCTGGGGTCTGCTCTTCATTACACGAAGTCATGTATATATCCAAAATAATTAGTAGTAAGTTACCAGAGTTGTCCTTGATCAATACCTGAGAATTCAACACTTGTAAAATCCTAACCTAGTGAAGTGAATTGCTGGGTTTGCTTATGTATTTGAAAAGAAGGAAAATGCCTATTTACCTAGTGGCTCTCCTTACAATTACTGGTATTTTAAAGTCTAGTCTTAAAAATGGGAGAAAACTGCATTTAATACACTGGGTGAAATTCTCTTGCATTTACCTGCCAAGGCATGAGCGCAGCCCTCAGGGTTCTCCCTTTACCTTGCTGCAGCTGGTGATGTCATTAAACCTGAAGCTATGCAAGGAATGCAGTTTCTTCCTCCATCACTTAGTCTTAGCCATGACACAAACTATTTCAAGAGAAACTGAGGGTTGAAGTTAAGTCCTGAGAGGTAACGAGACTTAAAAGCTGCCTTTTCAAAAAGCTATAGATACATCTAGGAAAATGCCTATAGCACTTTTATTACTTGATGATCATCCTTAAAGCACATCTTTTGTATTTTCTATTAGCAAATCCACAGCTGTTATGCTCCCAGCATGTCATTAGGTTCTTCAGCATTTCAGCTGCAACCATCAGTATGTCTTTACTTTCCTATTTTCATTTTCTTCTGGCTGTTTCAGTGCATGTAAGATTAAATAACAGAATCTCTCACAATATTGGAGTAACTGGGGATGAGACCTGCTGATGGCATTTGATACATAAAAAGGTGTTTATGAAGAAATTTGATCGGTAAAGAGGGCCCATTTCTTTCAATATTGGATCCTTATTTAAAGGGATGAATTTGAAAACAGCTTGAAATAGCTGTATGTTTCAGAAGGGGCTTAGGAGGTATAAAGCGTTGCATACGTGACTGAAGATCACAGGGAGGTGACAGAAAGAGTTACTTAACGTGATCTGTGGGAGCATAAACTAGGAGAAATAAGTTTAAATGACTAAAATAGGTATTAAGCTTTTTAAGAAAACTTTTAACAGAGAGGTGTAAAAGCTTCTTAAGGGAATATAAGGAAACTGCTGTTATATGGATTAATAAAATGAGATTTATTAAGGTATTGTAAACATTTTGAGACAATTCACTGTTAGGTTGATGCGTGACAGAGAGAACCTTCCTATTTCTAGGAGCTGTGATTTTCATCTAGTTTTTGGGTTGTGGAAATAGCCTGACAACGCTATGTTGCGCAGTGCAGGTCAGCAAGGATGCATTGCCTACACAAGCTTCAATAACTGTGGGTGGACTATTCTGTTGTTAAAAGCAGCATTTGGGGTATGCTAACCCGACAAAATGGGTTTACTGTGAAAGGCAGAATTTGGTATGTAAATAAGTTTAATTTATTCCAGATCATAGTCAAGTTTTTTGTGGGTTTAAGCAGTTTGTTTGTTTGTTTGAATCTCAGATTCCACAAAGGATCTTTTCTACCGAATGGACAACAGCTGGATACAAAGCAGCCAGAACTATTCTCTCCCGTACCAGCAGTACTGGGTCTTCAGGCAGAAGTACTCAGCAGAGGAAGCTGTGCTTTGGTGTCTCACACGTAAGACATATTGGAGACTATTACTCTCTAGGAAAAAATAATTAACTAAGATCTTCTAATAGGAATTATAATCATGATGAGGAGAAATTCTGAACTTTGAGGTGTTTTTGGGAAAACCCACAAAATTTTCATGGAATTGCTGTTGGGGTCATCTGTTTGTTCCTTACAATCTCTGTCTGATGTGGCAGAAAGGGTACTTATCCTTCATCATCAGGGTATCCCTATTACGGGCAAGAGAAGTCAAAGATATCATCAGGGTATCCCTGTTATGGGCAAAAGAAGTCAAAGATACAATTTAGGCAATACTCTGCTGTTCTTGAAATCTACTCTTCAAAATGGATAGATAACGTAGTGGTAAAAAAGAGAAGGTAAAATAAAATTCGGTGTTAAAGTATATTTGGATTTGATAAACGGAGAAGAGTTTCTAGCTCTCACTACCAAGAAGGCAGAACCAAGGGTACTAAACAGTGCACTGACATTGCTGTAAGAGGTCAGTAGAGCTATGCCTCTTTAAAATTAAGCACTGACATATGTATTTACAGAAGCAACTGCCAGAGTAATTGAGAAATGGGGTTTACAGCTTTGTTTCTTTTCTGAAGGTGCAATATTACCCCGGGGCAAATTTCAGTCCAAATTGCTACAAGCAAATGGCTTGAAAAGTTGATTCTAAAAGTTATTTATGTTTTTGTGTGGTGTATGAACACTTCAGAAATATCTTTTGCAAAACCTTCGTAAGACATTGTAGACTTTATTGTTCCTTTTATTCTTAAAAGGAAGAGACACATGGCTGATGCAGAGTTCTTTTAAGATTAAACAGTTCACATGTCAGATGTACTGAAGAGAAAGCAAGAGAGATCTTTATCAATGACAATGTTAGTGACACCAATACACTTGGGTAATGCTTGTCACAACTGGGAAATGTGTCTTTCCAATTAGCTGTGGTATAGCTCCTTTTCTGTGCTCCCTAGGTAAGCCTTCAGTGTCACCAGAAACAGAATCTGTCCCTCTTTCTCTTGCACTGTAGTAGAATAATAGTGAAATCCTCACTTTTAGTTTGCTGGTGGACAGCTTTAAGTGCTCGGAAGACATGAAGAGAAATAGAGAGGGGAAGAAACCCTCATATGTGTGTAACTCTTTGTGACTTTGCTTCCTAGGGTGTACACAAGAGGATGAGTTTTGTCGAATGGCAGATCTTCAAAACACTGCAGACACATACGTTGTGTGTACCCTCTATCCAGAGGCACAGATTTGTGATGGCAGCATCGATCAAATGCCAGAAAACTGTCAAACACTGCTACCCTGGCAACCACAGACGTTGTATCGTAAAATAGGCAAGTTTGGAGATTTGGGTGTATAATGTGTGCTCTAACCCTGGTAATGCAAGCTAGTGTTTTGGCTCTTCATGCTCAGATAAAAAGTCTGTATGCATGAATGTGTCCTGGGGCGTGATGGTGAAAGGAAAGGTCAGGTTGCCCTGGACATGGGTTTTCATTTCCAATTCAGAATGGAAAGATGTTACCTATGAGGTCCAGTCTCCACCTCAGGTATTCCCAACTCAGAGAGGCCAAGAGTGGCTCAGAAAATTTGTATACCAGGTCTTAAATCTTTTTATAATGTGGGTGAAATGGGAATGTCATTGGGATGTTGTCAATCTCATTTTCTACCATTAAGATTAAGTAGTAGTTAAGCAATGTAAAAATTGAGAGTCCTTGATTATAATTTTCTTAATTATTTTACTGAATCCAGAGTTATGGACATGTGGATTTTAACCTCTGTTCTTTGAATGCTTGGGAAGTTCAATGATTTTCTCATAGGGCTCATCTGAGGAAGCTGAACAAACAAGCCTGTTACCACTGTACAGGAACCTATGATTTGTAAAGGTCCATTGAACTACGTTATTAAATCATGTCTTTTCAGGGACCCCAAAGTGCAACACAGGTTGATTATCACATTACTGTGATCCTGTAAAATTATCTTGTAATCAATCAAGACCATTGTATTATAGAAACATAAACTTCACCCTTACCATGTGATTGCTTGACCAGAACATGTAAATTAGAAGGTTAAGCTGATTTTTCCAGTTTTCTTTTTCTTTTCCCTTTCAGTCACTCTAAAAAGTTCTGTGAAGAGCTTCTACACACGTGTACCATTCCAGAAAGTAATGGGTATCTCAGTGAGGAATAAGACTGACATGAGCAGAAAAGCTGTTTCAGATGGGTAGGATGTGACTGTTCCTTTGTTTTTACTGGAAGTTTAACTGTGCCTGGAATACCAAAGCAGACGAAGCGCATCAGACATGTTGATCCAAGAACAGCATTATTTGAGAATATTTAATGAAGAAAAAAATAACATGATTTAAAGGAAATTTGTAATTGAGTTGTAAATAATAATGTATATATTTAGTGATTATATATATGTGAATTATTAAATTGCTGGTTGGTCAATTAAATGTCTTAGCAATAATATACCAATTTTAATATTTGATATTGGTATTTTTAGTGCAGATATCAAAATAAACTAAATTATTAGATGTAGTCTGGTAGATGTATAGTGATCAAACATAACTTCATCTACAAATAGAAAAGGTATGGAAGTGTCTATGCAGTATGGAATGTCTAAGAGCTGTGAACAGTCTTATTCTGAAAGGCATCTCTACAGGTTTTCAGTGTCTCTCTCCTATGCAGTATCCTCTCTTCCTTTCTCCACATAGACAGATTATTAATGATACTGAGAATAATGACGTTTATCCTTTCCCAGCTTCTTTGATTGTGAGCGTTGGTGTGATGCTGACCCCTGTTGCACAGGATTTGGCTTTTTTAATGACTCCCAGCTATCAGGTATTTTTTCACTATTTTTATTTCTTAAAATCATTTAAGTCTCCCTCCATTATTCCAAACTCAACTATTCTTTTGCTGTGAAGGGCACTTTAAAAGCCTTTACAGATCTTATGCAACCCTCTCTAGCACATTTTCGAGTAACCATAACCATTTCTAGGAGTTCAGCCCAATGACATGCTCCACATCTCAGAAATTAATAAGGAAAGTTCATGGGAATGAGTCCTTAAGAGGCTGCAGTTCCAACAGCATGAAATTCCAGCTGATAAAGCTTCGGAACAGTTACTTCTCGTTTATGAACTTCTCTTCCAAAATGTTGATTGACTTCTTTTTTGTGATTTTTTGTTCAATGTTGTTTCATTTTTTGAAGCCTTAAGTGACTTAGAAACCTAAATATTGCTGAAATGAAATGTGTGTTAAGCACATAATGTCCATGGCTACTTAGAGGCAGCGTAGCCTTTTGGCTTTCTTGGATGTCTGAACTTCTCTGCTCACAGATTTTAGTCTTCAGTGAGGAAGATTGGTTGCAGATAGAGGTTGCCTGTCTCTTCTCCTTAGTATTTTAACTACTTAACCTATCTCAGGTAGGATTTCGGTCTGAGGAAGTCAGAGCTTTAAAAGTATGTGTGACTTGAAAGCTACTACTCACTCGAGATGGCCAACTTAAGGGGTGTTGTCACCCTATGCTCCCTCTGTAGTCAGCAGAGAGATGTATAGACACAACTACGGAGTCTTTAAGAGCTTTGGTTGACTGAATCCTGTCATGGACGTACTTCTATTTTGCTCCAGTGGCTGTAAAGGAAGTGCTTTGTTTAAAAGGAAGACTTTAGCAGGTGTTTAAAATTGGATGCCATCCAGGTCAAAGTCAATGAAATAGTTTTTAATGTTTTATTCCAAATTTAGATTTAGGCCACTAAAATAGCTAACTTTGGTTTTGGACTTGTCAAGTGCTAATCATAGAATTAATCATAGAATAATACAATGATTAGGGTCGGAAAGGACATTAAGATCATTTAGTTCCAACCCCCCTGCTGTGGGCAGGGACATCTCCCACAACTCTCTGAGACAGTATGTGCTGGTTTTACAGTTCATTTGGGAATTTGGAACACTTTCAGAAATACGTATTTTTCATTCCATTTTTTGTTGAGCAGACAATATTTTCACTTAGTCAAAAATTAGTAGCTTGGAAAATTAATCCAGTGCAGTTTAGATTGGAATTACTGCACACATCAAGATTAGTTGACAGTTTTCATATGTCCGTATGACAATGTGAAATTTGAAGTCTTACCTGAATATGATTTTAAGTTTCTTTACGTAATTCTAAAACAAATAAAGGATTTTGAAGCACAAAACGTGCAAAACGGACATCTCTTAGTTTATTTGATTAATATTTTTTAGCTGTGGCATTTCAGCCATCCAGGCCTGGCATTCACATAGTCAAGAGAACTTTCAGTAGCGATTTTAACATGAGCTAGGCTAAATCTTCAATGAAATATGTTTCAAACTCTCAATTTTTTCAGGTGCAGAAATATTTACACTAGGTCTTTGATAGGCAGAATTGTTATCTTGATGTAAGTAGGGGCTGTGTTCCAACGTACATGCAGGTTTTTGACTTCCAAGATTGCAATAGCCACAAAGGTCTGCGTGCTCAAAGGATAGGTTCTAATCTTTGCTTAGTGGAAATGCTCAGTGATCTTAATGGATTATAATGTTTGTACCCACCTTCTCTCACATGGAATTCATTGTGATTTTTCAACATTATTTTCAACAACAGTAAGACTTCGCCCATTTTATGTATTTCCTTGTTTTGATTTCTAAGTCAGTGGAATTCCTTTTAACAGTGTTGTATTCACTTCCCTCGAAATACTATCTAGGAAAGGGAAGTTTTCCTCATCGTATTTATAGCTGTGTATTTCCCTGACAGGTGGAAGGATTATGTGCCTGACCCTGAACAGCGTAGGAATCCAGACGTGTGCTGAGGAGGCAAGAAGTGCTTGGCAAGTTTCAAATTGTAGTTCACCAAATGCTGAAGTCAGAATACACCCGTTTGGCTGGTATCAAAAGCCTGGTAAGTGATGCAGGGCCTTTCTGCACACTGAAGCTTGTTAGCTTCAATGTATGGAAGCTCGGGCTTTCAGCTGGAGGACCCACATTCAAGGATCAGACAAGACAGACAAGCATGTGCAAGGGAAAGAAAGGTGCAATTTAATCTTCATTTTAATAGAAAAGGAATAGAAATACCTCAAAGAAGTATAATTTAATTTCTTGGATTGTATAGGAGACTTCTGGCCAGTGTTGGAACCCAAATATGATTTGTTCCACTGCACAGTCCTGGTCAGGACATCATTCTTTGTTTCTCACTGCTTGGCTTATGGTTTAACGATGTGTGTGGATGCATAACATCAAAAGGTTTGGTTTGTGTTGTAAGATTCAAAGTGTCTGAACTCAACCCAGAGCTTTTCAAGCTTTTCATTTGCTTCTCTAGTGGGGCAACCCTTGTTACAGAGTAGAGACAGCATGGAGCTGGGAGACACCATGGAAACTTACGGTGAGGGACAGGCTGGGGGTCTAGCACTGAGAGGAAGGGAACAACAGCCCTGATATAGCAGGCGATGGCAGGAACCTGTGGGCAGGGGTGACGTGAGAGACAATGAGGGTAAGAAAGATGAAGGGGAGAGAGTGGAGGTGTAGATACACTTCCACTTCCTGGATTTTCTTTTTCCTCTTGTTGGCAGAGACAGCCAAAAATAAAGGACATGAGGGATGATGAAGAGGAGCCTGGGGTTTATGCAAAGAGTGAAGTGTTAGGAGAGACAGTGACGTTTCCTTACGCATTGAGGAACTGCAGATGTGTTTCCACTATAACACAGAGCAAGGCACAGATGTTTATGCAAATGGAGATATTTTTGACAAAAATTTGTATCAGTTTTGCTGGTGTGTTGGGTGTCCGGGAACCAGGAAGAGGAACAAAAAACCTCTGAGCCTGAAAGGCAAAATGGGTTAAATCTGAAGGAGGAATTTACTGTAGCGGGACATGAGCATGAAACACAGGGTAGTTGGTTTTAGTCCACACTTTTGTTGTAGGGAGGTACTTGTGCCTCCGCATTCATAATATGCTAAGTTGAGGAGTGAGCTGTTTGCCTGCTCGTCTTCTTTCATTTACAATTTGACTTCTATGTGTAGTCGTGGTTCTAATTCAGTCAATAAGGAACATACAGCAGCATTTTAAAGAAAGTTCTGGCTAGCCCCAGTTCTTCATTCCTGTCAATGTGAGTGGCAAAACACCTTTTTTATGTTTAGAAGTATCTATTGATTATGGACAGTAGATATGGGCATGGACAATGTGAAATGGAAGAAGCAAACAGAAAAGCTCATTTGTCTTCAGCTTCTGTAGGGATTGTAATGTATTTTTTCGTAGTAGAGAATGTATAGCTGATTTAATTAACCAATGTTTTACAAAATTATTATTATTATTATTCTTTGTTATTTAAAACTGCAAAATATTTAAGGGAAATATTAGCAAATGAGAAGATTTATGTGTGGAAAATATGAATGATTATTGGAATTTTAATTTAGAAAGTTTCCTGCTGGAAACTGACTTGTACCTAATTCTTGGTTTGAGAAATTCCAGTTTGCTAATCAGGAAGCAGAGAAGATCTCATGTCTCTTGTGATGCAGAAAACCAAATACAAAGAGGGGCATGGAAGAAACCCACAGAACTACTGAAATGAGTTGCTTGTAAATAACTGCATTTTAAGAAGTGTTTGTAGGAAAGTTTATTAATATGGAAATTTAAGGAAGTCTGAAGTGATGTATGAGGTCAAAAGCATTCAATAGCAAAGCAGCCTCATATCCTTACTTTTGGTGTTCGTGGTGAGAAGATGCAACATTCAGATCCCAGCAGCAATACTGGGAATATTGAGGTGTTGATTACATTTTAAACCTTCAAATGTAGCTGCTTATAAATGTTTTGGGGTTTTTTTCTGTTTTTAGCTGATTTGAAGAACACCATGGCTAACCTGTGTCCGCCTGTTAGTTTACCTCCGGGGTCAGAAAGTGGTAAGTGTATTCACGTATTAAGCCAGGAAAAGAAAGGAAACATCTTCTGTTTTGTGTGTATTTCTAGATTTCCTCACACTATTTCTAAAAGATCACACCATAATGAAGTGTTTGTCTTCACATGAGTTTACTCATTCAGGTGTTTACTCACTTTTATTAGTTTTGTATCATTTAAATGGAAGAATTGTTGTCATCCACAATGGTGGCCTGATATCTCTCCAACTCACTGCCACAAGAGGTCACTGAGGCAAGATATTTGGTAGGACTGATGATGAAATGAATCATTTATAAGTGTGGATGTCACATCACTTTCAGTGGATAAACCTTGACACTTTAGTGCAGTGGCCAATGGCAAGAGTAGCCCTCTGAAAGCTGCTTATTGCATTATTGTCCGCAGTTGTGGGGTTTCTAGGACCTTTCTTGTAGCATCTGGTGCTTGCAGTTTCTGTCAGTAATACTGAATGCAAGAAGTCTCAATGAGTTTTTATTAGATAATATTAGTTATTAGTTTCCAGAGATAAAAGCATTTGCAATAGTCAAATTTGGAAAATCTATTTTTCCCCCAAAACCAAGATGATGAAAGGGGCAATTCCTCCATAAACTAATGCAGGTTTATACTGCTTTATAATTGGAGGTACAGACGAATGCTAAACTGTACTGCTTTTACTCCTTGTCTGTGGTCTCCTGCAAGGATTGGAATATCATGGATCACAAGAAATGTAGTATTTCAGGTGTGTGTTGGGTCCCACTTTTGAGGAGATGCTGTAACTTGCTATGACAGAAGAGAGTTTGTATCAGTCTTGCAGGAGATGAACCTTGCGGTACACACACACGCATTATTTTATGTAAGTGGGTGGACCCTCTTAATAAATGAAACTGAACTTCTGTCTTTCTGGGCTTTGTGTCTATTGCCCCCTAAAAAGTACATGCAAATTGTCAACAGCTACAGCCTTCCCTGATGTTTCCTTTCCAGAAATACACAGCATGTCTGCTCAATGCTGCGTGTATCGGGAAGGAAGCAGCTTGACTAGTCATTAGAAAACTCAGTTCAACCCTCAGATTAGGCTGAAATTGAGAAGTCATCCATTTCTATATTTTCTTTCTGATCTAAACAGTTTTTAGTCTGTGTCTGTCTGTCTTTGACAAGGATCTAAAGATCTTTTCCAACATTAACTGTTCTGTGATTCTATATGCAGCTGAGCTTGTAGGAGATGGTTAATATTTGCAACGGATTTTCAATATTGAGTTCAGACTTTGTGATAATTGTTTTATCATCATGTCTCTGACCACCAGTCATGACCATGTTCAAACCATTCGTATTTATTAGTAGAATTTGTGCTTTTTTAATGTAATAGAAGGAAAACTGCTATTTTTTTTTATAGGTAAGCAGAAATTTTTTGTGTGAAATGCTTTTTGGAGCTAGTGGGGTACATGGAGGTTGGGCAGTTCAACTCCTCTGCAGACTGTTTCTCCCACAGATGTAGAAAGCCACTTTACTAAAGCTTTCTTCCTCCCAGTGTGAAGCTTTCATCTTCCCAGTGTGAAGCAGTAATTTTGTCACTTTCCTTTTTCTTTTTCCTTCCTTTCTTAAATGTAGGAAAACAGTGACCTAAGCAGCACTTAAAGAAATTAGGCCTTTCAATATGTCATTTGTTTTCTGCTCTAAAGACTGCCCAGAATTTACCCACAGAAAGTGAGGTGCTCATTTTACCCTTAGTAACAATCTTAATCTGTCGCACTCATTTCCAGGTCATCTTTCCAAATGCAGAGCAACTAGGGATGTCTGTGGATTGCAAAGGTCTGGTTATCCACTCAAGCAGGCAGAGCCTCCCATGAAGGTGCAGGATTCTGGATTAGACTGGTTGTCCTGAGGACAGCAGTCAGGGGGAGTCACTGAATCACGAAGAGCACAGCTAGCCTGGAAGTCAAATTAGCACTAGTACCCTGTGGTCTTTGGGTCCCTCACACCAGTGTGTGCAGCAACACATTCAAAATGCAACCGAGCACCATCTGCCCTTCCTATGCTCTGCCTCCTCGTGACAGTAAGAGCATGAGCCTGGTTATTTAGATGAGATGCTGTCTGTGTCATGTCAGAGGTTTGGGAAGATTTTCAAAACCACTGTTTCCAAACTCTTTATGATTAAATATGTTATATTAATAGGTGCTACAGAATGGTTTTAGAGTTGGGCATAACAGAAAAAGCTAGCAGTGGCTGAATTTGCTATGTTGTGGTATTGCTTATGCATGGGGAAGAAAATTACTGTGACTTCTATGTGGTTAACCAGATGGTGAACGTGAGAAAATGTTATTATTTAAAGGGCACTGACATGTGTGTGTATGTGTGTGTGTGTGCATGTAAGCATATATATACACATGTAAAAAACATGTATAAAACTCTCCATCAAAAGATCAGAAAGATACTTAAAATTGAACACTTTGCCAGAAGGCTCTGTGAACTAGTGAAGTTCATCTTATGCCCAATTAGTCTGAGTTTTCTGAGGCACAATCGTGGCCTATATTTCAGTAGAAAATTAATACATTTGACTGCTCATTTTCTAGTTAACAATTTGCAATACTCAGGACAGAGTGTCCAGCACTTTGGTTCCTCCCATTTGCAGTCAGGCTGCTGACTCCATTCCAAGTCTGTGGTGTTTCCAGCCCAAATACCTTGTGAAGAAACCCAGATTAGCAGACTTATTTTCAGCCTTGAGGGAAGTAGATGCTTTGTCTATTTTACTCATTGTTCTTCTCGATAGAAGACCACAGACCACTGAACAATAGAAAAAGCCTCAATAAGAAAGGTTTCTACATGTACTTGGGCAGCAAAAGGAAGGGTAGGGAACATGTGGGTCTGCTGCTGAACAGGGAAGGAAACCTGATGGCAAAGGATATGGAAAAGGCTGAGGTGCCTTCTTCATCTCGGTCTTTACCTCAAGTCCAGCCTTCAGACTTTGAGATGAGGGGGGAAGACTGCAGCAAGGAACACTTATTTTCAGTGGTGGAGGATCAAGTTAGGTAACAAGCTGGACGTACAAACCTATGGGACCAACCTGGCCTTGAACACTGCCAGGGATGGGGCAGCTACAATTTCTCTGGGCAACCTGTTCCAGTTTCTCACCACCCTCACAGGGAAGAGCTTCTTCCTAATATCTAATCCAAATCTCTTCTCTGTTAGTTATATCATATATACCCTATAGGCTCCATTCCCACTCCATTCAAATCAAGTAATTGACTGTGAAACCACCAAGGCACATGTATGTAATGATCTGTTAGGCCCTTCTTGTTTCTGCCTCCTGGGATCCCCTGATGATTTATGGCCATTCCCTCAATGTGCTGCTGAGCAGTGGCTGCAGAATTTTCCAATGTGGGAATAAATTTCCCATCTGACTATCTCAGACATGGGGTATTTTCATTCTCAACAATACAGGTGCTGATTTTATGACTTTGTTGATTAGTAATATCATTTGATTTCCTGTTTTTCCAGAGTGCTGAGGGTTTGTCATAGAGATCTTTGGTGTGGAATAGAGTCAGCCTCTTTATCCACCTTCAGGAGCTGATGTACCGTGCCCCCATACAGCATATTGGAGTTTTGGTGCAGAATTTCTCTATCTTTGGGTTTGAGTTTGATTTTTAGTCTGTTTGTAAACAAGAGGATTTTAGCCTATTTGAAAACAGCTTATTTTAAGCCTAGATAAATATCTGGTACATTTTTAGTATTCTATTACTATACAATTTACTATAATTGGTACTACTCAAGGAGGCAGAAACTTTGCATTTCACCTGGGCATTGCTCACTGCTAAAAGCCACAAATAACACATTTGTTATTATGGCACACGTTTGAGGTGTGATTATAGGTATTATGCAGCAGTTTTAAGAATATTACTCAGTTTGAATTATTAAAATCTCAGTGGATGGACAAAAATGAGAAACAACTATGTTTTAGAAAGAGTATATTTCCTGCACGTCCACTCTGAGTTGACAATTTTCTTGTTTTAGAGGCTGTTGGTATACAGACAGTCTTCCTTGGAAAAAAGCCCTCTGAACACTAGCAATATAAAGCCCTGAGTTCAGCCTGTGAGCATGTTTTTGACTTGAGTCAGGGTTATTAAATATGGCTCACAAATTTCAGAATTAAGATCAGAATTTGTCTTTCAAATATAAATTAGGCACGCTGAACCATAGATCTGATTTATGTACCTCCTTAGCCTCATTTAGCCTCATCTGATTTATGTAACTCCTCAAGTTCATGAGTTTTCTTTCAAGTTTAATTTATTTTATTGCATTTCTGTATCTCTGTTTTCTTATATCAAATCTCAAAATTTCCAGCAAACTCAGAACTGACCCCTCTTTGCTTCAGAGACAAAACTTTTGTTGACTTTATGAAAAGGGGTTCATAAAGTCATAGTCTGTGAAAGTGGAAGGCTGAACTCTGTGTCCCCAGGAAATCTATTCTGGTCTTGTGATCTTATGACTTAAGTGGGAACAAGTGTGAGTCTTAAACCTTGCCTATGCAAACACGAACATCTGGAAGAGAGGGGCTCTCTGTATGGGACATATATAATTTTGCAATGAAAGTTACAGGGCTGGCTGGATTCAGAATGCTGTAATTATCCAATCAAAGCATTTGCCAAAATGTGGTTTGGAAGGTCAGAGCTTAACCTATATATAAATCAGAAATGTCTTCCAGCCCATCAGGTGCACTTATGCAATTTCAGTAAAGGCAGTGACCAGTCTGTAGCCTTGTGCCTTGCAAGATCAGTTTCTAGATGGGGCAAGTTTAGATCAGCCATGGAAAGTTCTGCTTTGCCCAAGTGGATGTGCATACCTGTGGGCATTGCTGGGTCTGCTGCCAGGAGAAGGGAAGAAGGAAACAACTAATAGCCAAAGTCTCTTTTGCAGCTAACTGCTGGCTGGCAACGTCCACATTGGTGCTGTGGATGACTCTGGCTAAAAGGGCTTTGCTCTGTCATTAAAATAAGCAGTAGTGTTTCTGCATTTATCTGCATCTGGGGTCTGCTGGGCAGAAGATCAGAAAGGGAAAACACCGGAAGTTTCAGTATCTACATCTGACCTGAGATTATGAATGCTTCATCCAGGACTGAGAATAGAAAGAAACCCACCACAAACCCCAAAGCAACCTGAAAAACAACCCCTGTGGGTTGGGAGGTTGCAAGGGTCACTTCTGTGAGATTTGGGGGTGCAGAATAAGCAAGTGAAATATGTTTTAAATATGAATGTACAATCTATGGATGTTTGCATCGTGAACGCTCACTCTTCTGTGCCTAGCATGGGCTACAAAGTGCCCATCGTGTCTTATACATATTTCAAATGAATGTTATTAACTTGAGTCTATCCCACATAAAGGGATAAAATACAGATCTTTTAATATAGAAGCAGGAAGTTTAGCTTGGGATCAAATGTAGAACACATTACATGTGCCTAATGATGGCAGTGTGCACGCGGAAGCTTAATTCGAGCTCCTTCAAAAGATTTTAATAGCAGTAAACTAGTAAATCTCAGGGAGATAGACACAGGAGGCCAAGTTCAAGTGTTGGAGCTGTAAATCCAATTAATTTATTTTGATTCTGTGGAACTGTTTTGGATTTCTACTCTGAGAGAGCAGAATTTAGCTTAGCAAGAGTGCTTCTGAATGTTTGATCTGCAGAGTCATATGAGAACTGTGGGACTTGCCAGAGTCACTTGGTGAGTCAGGGAATCCAGGGGAAGAGAATCAGTCTGGTGAAATATCTTCCAAAACCACTGATGCACCCAGACTTGTTGACTTACAATGGAATCCAGACAAGGCTCTTTTTGGAAAGAACCACAGCTAGTAATTTGGAGCTTTGTGTCTGAACCTAGAGAGATTACTCGTTCTGCTAGTAGGACCTCAGTTACTAGTACTATACACAGTGCAAGATAACAACATTGATCTTATGTAAAAAGAAAGTTTAAGTCATTGATTAAATAAAAATTTTTTCTTCATGTTTTCTGGGACAAAAAATAAATAATAATTGAAATAGTAAATAATTGAAATAAATAACTGAAAACATTAACTGACAAGATACAATCTGGAAGATCTGTGGATCTAGTAGTATAGGCAGATAATATCTGGAGAGGATGTAATAGTTAATTCTCCATCACTTAGAGTTGATTTCTATTTTTAAGTATCTTTCTAAATAAATACCACAAACTGTCATCCTAGATGTGGGGGCAGAAATTTTCTAACACGAGTCATGTAACAGGTCATATTAGATGGTTTTAAAATAGAGAAACTATTATGAAATGTGGTAATTTCCATGACTAAAATCACTGTATTTCTCTCAACTAATGTGATAGTCAGTGATTAAGGAGAAATAAAACTAAAGTGCAGTGTTACACAAGTCAAGCTGTGATTGCAGGGTCATTGCTCCCTTACTAGTTTAGACTCCTGAATATAGTGCTGATGATCATAGAATCACAGAATGGTTGGGGTGGGAAGAAATATGAGATCTAGTTTTACCCCCCTGCCACGGGAAGGGACACCTTCCACTAGAGCAGGTTGCTCCAAGCCCTGCTCAACCTGGCCTTGAACACTGCCAGGGATGGGGCATCTACCACTTCTCTGGGCAACCTGTGCCTCAGCACCCATATAGTGAAGAATTTCTTGTTACTATCTAATCTAAATCTACCCTTTTTCAGTTTAAAGCCATTCCCCCTTGTCCTATCACTACATAAACTTATAAAAGTCCCTCTCCAAATTTCTTGTAGGGCCCCTTTAGGCACTGGAAGCTGCATTAAGGTCTCCCCGGAGCCTTCTCTTTTTCAGGCTGAACAAGCCCAACTCTCAGCCTGTCTCCATAGCAGAGGTGCTCCAGCCCTCTGATCACCTTCATGGCCCTCCTCTGGACTTGTTCCACAGCTTTGCGTCCCTCTTGTTATGGGGACCCCAGAGCTTGATGCAGGAGTGCAGATGGGGTCTCATAAGAGGGGAGTAAAGGAGCAGGATCACCTTCATTGTCCTGCTGGTCACGCTTCTTTTGCTCATCAGGTTTTTTCAGCTTGTGCTTTGGGAGATAACCCGTGCTTGCAGTTTATGTTTCCTTGGGAAGGATTTACCTTGCAGAAGCAAAGACTTTTAGCATCAACATAGAGTCAGAGTTTTGGCAGTTAACCTTTGATCATGAATTATTTGGAATTAAATAATTCTGAAATCTAATTTAGCCATTGCCATTCCCTGCCTACTTGCTCAAGGAACAATGCAACCAGCCTAGTCTGTGGTCTGGTTTGGATCTTGCATTCTCATTGACTGGGCAAGTATGTCAACATCAGGATTTCCAAGTTGCAGGGAAGGCATGCCACAGCCCTGACTATATGAACCTCTAACCTTAGCTTCAGGTTTGATGTTGTGTTATGGTCACAGCCATCTTTCTGCGAGGAAGGGATTGAAGGAAACTTTGGCCATCTTTGCCAGTCACCCATTTCTCAGAAGACTAGAAGAAATCTTTAATGAAATGAACGGCCACAACTTGTGCATCTGTGTGGTAAATTCAAACAACAGGGCAAGATTTGCTTCCCAGGAATAGCAAGGCAACAGCTGGCTCAGCTCTGTCCTCACCCTCCAATTACACGGGGAGAGTAACATCAACTTCTGGTTTAGGACTCAGTGGCCACAGCAGAGCCCTTTTGCCTTGAAGATATATTGAACTGTTGAAAGGAACTAAAGTAATTAAAGGCCTATTCTTTCCCAAGCCTTCCTTTTTTTACTTCTGTGTGCAAAATGGAGAGCCTGCAGATATTTTTAGCTGTGTAAAGTTTACTGCATTATTTTAAACCCACTGTGAGACAGAAGAATAATTCTTGAGGAATGCTAGAGTCAATATGTACATGAATATGTATGCTCACACATGCACATGCATGTGTACGTGCATATATGTGAGTATACATGTTTATATACGTGTAATACACGTGCATATATAGATGTGTACATATTTGTATATGTATATATATGAAATAGAAGCAATTCTTAATTATGTAGCAGTTACGTGACATTAGAACAGTTCACAGAATTTCATATGATTCTGTCTATGAAATTAAATTAAACCAATCAAAATAAACCTCGTGACCTTTTAAAGAAAAGCCTGTGAAAATCAAATGTGCTTCTGTTGGAGTTTGATTGGTGCTTGTAAGGGAAGACAAAAACACAATGTTTATGAGCACTGTTACCTCATCTTCACTTAGTGTCTATGAAATTAAATTAAACCAATCAAAATAAACCTCGTGACCTTTTAAAGAAAAGCCTGTGAAAATCGAATGTGCTTCTGTTGGAGTTTGGTTGATTGCTTGTAAGGGAAGACAAAACCACAATGTTTATGAGCGCTGTTACCTCATTTTCACTTAGTCTGTGAGGCTGGGACTTGCTCTCTCAATGCAGATTTATGCAGGTAACATAAACATCAGCTGCTCACATGAGGTTCCCTGTACAGACAACATAGACATCTGGCTCATGTAATCAGTAGATTCCTGGGAGTGATTTGTCTCATCCTAAAGCAGACATCTAAACCAGGGTGAAGATACTGCATAGTAAAACTGTCTGTTCCTTCTGATAGTACAAGGAATCTAATGTAATGAGCTCAGATGTAGACATCATGCAGGTGTAGACACCTTGCAGGTGCATGAGGTGAAGCCTAACTTAGGAAACCAGCTCTTGCTTTAAAGATGTGGATGTCTGCTGCAGGTTCTGGGAGCACTCAGTTGCATCCCCACTTCTTTCCAAGGAGTTAGTGGCCGTACCTGCTCAGGAACATGTGTGCAACCATTATGACCCACATCCTTTAATGTAATTAGTCCTGTTCAGAAATCTTTTATTTAAATCAGTTGGATTTACATGCAAACCTGGATGGGGCTGCTCCAGATTTACCTCTTTATTAACTGAATACCTTTGTATGCCTAATTGTACATGACCTCTGAAAATGGGACTGGATGCTCTAGTCAATTGGAGGTCTTTGAATATAGCATTTAATTTATTTCCAGTTGGTGCAAAGAAAGGTGAAAGTCTTTCACTGGGAACTCCCCAATGCTTTTGTTTCTACATTATATTCCTCTGAAGTTTTTACTGAATCTTCAATTTCTATTATTTTTGTATGGTTCATTTTGCAGAGTATTTGGATAGATGGCAACCCTTAAGTGCGTCCTCTGTTCTCATGGATTCATCCATCTCAGACTTTGAAGTTGTGCAAGTTAGTAGAGATATATCCAATTACTTCTCCACTGCCAGAGACTATTGCCTATCCGGTAAGAAATGATTATTCATAGCTTTCTTGTGAGCCTCAAAAACCAAGAAGAACTTCCCACCACCACTTCTGACATAGATACACCAATTTTACTTATTTTTAAAGAAAGACTACCCCAGTGTTTCTGGATTTGAAAGAAGGATCTGAAATAGGTTATCTAATGAAAGATATGAGAGACATAAAATGCCATTGAGTGACTGTGTAATTTTGACACCTCTTGGGCACAGAGATCTCTTACTTCTCCAGGCACTGGACAACTTGGAGAATATTGTAGTGAATAATTAAAGAGGTGATGTTATTATTTTCTGAAGAGCAGTTAAGGAAAGCTGGCCAAGTGAGACAGATACAGATACTTTCGATAACTGTAGGAGCCACCTACAGTTATCTAAACTAACCTGTAGCTGCGTGTGTGAGGGCAGGTTGACTAAGAGCTGGGATGAAGCGGGTGTCAGGCTGTAGTAACAACAAAGGAAACTGCTTTAACTAATAGCAGCAGGGGGTCCTTTCACTTCACATGACTGGCAAATCCTCAATGCCACAGAGTGGTAGAAATAAGGAAAAGTTCTCACTTACTGCAGAAGATGGTTCTTTGAATGGTGTGTTTTATTGTATTAGATGGTCCTCACCTTATGAGGGTGAGCAGTGTAACTTACTGGTTTTTCCTGTAACTGTTTGAAGGAACCTTTCTGAAGGAGAAGTGTTGGATACCCACCTCTGAGTACAAACTCAGAGTCATTCACTTCGTTGTGCTTGTTTACTGTATGTATACAGGTAGATACATACCTGATTTTTGTTAGTGTACTTATTCACTTTAGTGTTGTAGTGAATGGAAACCTAACTGAGGGCAGATTCCCACTCATGACTGAGAAACATAACAAAGTATGGGTTTTGTCACAGTGTATTCAGTAGAGTATATATGTCTGTATTCATCATGACTGTTTGTCAGGAGGAGGCAGGAAAACATGAGGATGCAGCTCTTCTATAACCTTTATATTTGTCCACACTGAGGCCAATGCTCTTGGTGTGGACAACAGTGAGTTCATGAGAAACTGGATGGACTAATGAGTAGCAGTTACAGATCAGGCATAAAGCCAGTTGTTTCTAAGGGTACAAGAGCAGGACCCTTTTGTAGCTGAATCCGAGGCCTCACCTATGGGTGGATGCACCATGTAGGAACTGTACCAATTACCTGAGACTCCTGGCACTGACTGCAACAGGGCTTCCCAGCTTGAAGTGTGGGCCTGGATGGTGATTCATTGGTGATTGGTGATGTTTTTCTTCTTAATCTCTGTTCTCTCTATGCAGTAATGATTTGATGCATTGCTAATTTCCCCCTGTGCTATACACTTGGACAAATGAGAGGATCACTTTTCTTATTCTGAAACCTTTCCCTGGGGCTCTCTTCAGCTTAGATCCTCAGTACTTTATTAGAAGATGTTTTTCTTCTCCTGAAACATGTGATACCAGTTTTCTTTCTGCTCTATTTTAAAGCAAATATAACCACTTGTCCTTCAGCTGTTTTGGAGAATGTTCTGGGAATCTGAGAACATTTATGTCCCGTTACTCTGCTTTACAGCTACTTCATATTCTTATTGCTTGACCTGTTGTAAAACCTTTCATTTAAACATCTTATAACAATGTCATACAAAATACTTCGAGAATACATTTTTACCTGCTCTTTTTCTTCATGTTTCACCTCACAGCTTGTTCAAACGACCAGTCATGTATGGTGGTTACACTGGAAATCCAGCCTTCAGCAGTCAGATGCCTTTTCTACCCTGATACACAGATATGCACACATGGTCTTCAAGGGCACAGCTGTCGGGTTTTACTCAAAGAGGCAGCTACATACATCTATAGGAGACGAGGTAAGTGCAGGTTGAGGCTGTGGAGGAAGGAACTGTGGTGGCCTGTGCACAGTTCTTATGAATGGAAGAGTGAGGAGATCCTCACTAGACATAAAGCACTATGCATGTCTCCTAGACAGTTGTCCATTGCCATTTCAGTGGAGTTACAACCAATTGGGATAGGAAAACATCCCTAAATACTAATGCATGAAAACATGGTGTTACCATCTAGTGTCGAAGCAGGTATAATAAAGGCAGCCTAGTCTGCAAAAGATGTTTTGGAAAGTGCAGAATGGTCAAAACAAACAAAAAACCAGTCATGAAAGTCCAGCTCCTTCCTTTTCATCTGTGGAAGATGTTTCTATATGTTCTTCCTTTTAAACTCTGAGAATAACACAAGGAGTGTTGAAAACCCACCGTCAATTGAAAGTTGTAAGGAACATCTCTGGAGAAAACAAGCAAAATAAAAACCAAAGCAAGATGAACTAATGTTTTAAAGAAGGGAAATGATTTAAGAGAGAAATAGAAGTTGTGTAGACCAGTAAAAATGTTATTGTTTAGCTATGAACTTCGTTGCAACTGTAAGTTTTGTTGGCTTTTTTCCCCTTGATTTTAAAAGAGATTACTTTCTTTTTGTGTGATATTGATTATTTCTTGTATTAGAAGTAATTCTAATAAAACGGGTAACAATAAGGGGAAAGTAAGAAATATTCCCTTTTCACTGAAATTTCTGTGAAGAAACGACAAATTAATAAGAACCTTCTAGGCTCAAGCTCTGTAAGAGAAAAAGGGGTTTATCACTGTCAAAACCAGCAGTCTCTACACAGGACTGTAGGGAATTTGGACACGGGTTATGCTCGTTGCCTTCTGTGGAGGATCTGTCTCACATGATGTAACAGGTACTAGAAAGGAGAGTGAAGTGCAAGTCTTTCCTGGTGAGAGCCCAAACCAATGAGTCGTGTGGTTTTCTTTCCACTCTCTGACTTGCTATGCTTAAAGGTTTAACATTTCAGCTTTTTAGAGCTTGGGGCAGGAGGAAGTCTGAAAATCTCTCCCCTTGTAGAAATGCTCAGTTTTATATTCTAATGTGATGTCTGATCTGGAAGAAATGTTTGAGTAGGGGTTTGAAAAGTTAAATGTTCATATCTAGTAGCTAGTATCTAGCATAGCATGAAGTATTTTATAGGAAAAGATTAACACAGATTTATCTATGTTTCATTTAAAGAAGTAAAATGGACACATAACATCTTAAAACTAAGGAAAATGGGATTAATTTTCATTTCTGAAATGATGCTAACTTGAAAAAGCAAACTTTTTTCCTCTGTTCCTTCCCCTTTCCCCCCTCACCTGATAGATTTATTCCTGCCCATTTCTGATTTGGATTTAAACCCATCTGTGTACATCCCATCCCATGGAGATCTGATGGGCAAATCCGAGGTGATCCGTGTTGGCTCAGAGTGGAAAAACATTAGCCAGTTCCTGGGAATCCCATATGCTGCACCTCCCCTTGCAGAAAGGCGCTTCAGTCCTCCAGAGCCATTTGCTTGGGTGGAAACCTGGAATGCTACCGTGGCTCGGTAAGAAACCTCTTCTATCAGCTGCAGAAGTGCTTGTCCATCCAGGTGTGTGATGGTAGCTGGAGAGATGACCATGATATTCATGTCCTTTCTTGCAAAAGAATCTATGCATAACTCCTCATCCACTGTCTGCTGTCAGTCCATTTTCATGCTGAGTGCTTATACAGGTTTTTATATTCATAGATTTTGCTCCTCCTGAGCCATAAATCTATAGAATATTTAACCAAACAGGGGCACTTTACCACTGATTTTACCAGAAGCTGTGGGCCTCATATAGAAATCCTCTGTCTAGGACATCAGGCTGAAGGACTCAGATATTCTTTTCTGTCCAAAAACTGTTAAAAGGCAAATACTTGCTAAATTGCTTGGACAGACGTTCAGGAATTCTAAGTGTTTTAGGTAATGCCTTAAGTGGAAACTAGCACCAGGAACTGTATTAGCAGATCAGCTAAATTCCTGTTAAGTCCCTGTATCTAATGTTTCCCATTAGTGGCCTTGGCTCTCCAGGGCTGTACAGATACCAGTGCTTGGTGAGTTTAGGTTGGAGGCACTCTGCGGACCGTAGCCTTTGTGTGTCTGTCTGTGTTTCATTTAGTGTTATGATATGAATCTTAATTTTGTTGCATGGCAGAACCAAAACGACAAATTGTGAATGTGTATTTCTTAAAGGAGGGTTTGGGTGAGATACCTGTCAGCTGCGTGGAAGCTATTTGGTCCCTCCATTACTCAGGATTTGTCTCCAGGAGTTTCTAGCAAAGCCTGTGATGAACTGAGTGAGAAGAGATGCAGTGTTGTCTTAAAGAGTTGAAAAGCATCAGTAGCCTCATCCTTCAGGTCACACCTGAGTTGTGGAGGTGTTAACTGCATAACCACAGTGTCCATGCAGCCTTGTGTATGTTAGAGGGATCTGGTGGGACGTGGCTTTTTGCCTCCTCAGGTGCACAATGATGTTAGGTTAGCACACACCCCACCAGCTCCTTTTGTTTGCAGCCACAGCATGGTATCTGACAGGGCTTTGGAAAGACCCATCTGCTTCTGTGGTCTCTCTTTGAGGACCTGCTGCTGCACTGAGCAGCCTGGCTGAGATTTTTTCCAAGCAATTTAGGGACCTTAGTTAACCTACCCCTATCTTTTGAATTCTCAGTGCTTCCTTAGGCCAATGAAGAGCTTGGCCATTAATAATAATATAAATATTTTATATTTATAAATACAATCGTCTAATATTTTTAAGGCTAAAAAAATAATTCTTTGAGTTTAACACCATGGAGATGCACTTGGAGAATCAAGGGGACCTCACTCTGTGTGTATAGAAAGTGTTGACACTATATATTTTTTGACTCTATATTGGTGTTGCGTGATATTTGTATATAAGAAATAGACATTAGCGCAGTGCCATTACTGATGGAAAAGAAGCATTTGTTTATCAGCCTGGTCCTGATAAAAGACTTAAAAACCCCCAAAACACACAAAGCAAACCCAACCAAACCCCCCATCCAGCTATTGGAGTCTCCAGTTGCTGGAGGAGCTGTGGATTTGCCTCAGTAGATGGCAGTCTTTCCCTGGAGTCGGTCTTGGCATGAGGATTTGGCATGGGAGCTGGAGGTGCGGATGGGTGATGATACCTGCTGTCCTGTGGAAAGCTGTGTGGATTAATAGCGTTAGACCTGTGTCCTGGCCTGGTTCCTGCCTGGGAATTCGTATTTTGTCTGCCTAAAATGTCTTTAGCAGTTTTGGTTGGAGATGATGTGCTTCACTACGTCAGTGTGAAAGCTGTTGAGTGATATCACCACCCTAGGAACCTCCCTTGTGGAAAGATTTTGTAGAATTGCATCAAAGCTGGTCCTTTTCCTTGTAGTTTTCTATTAAATTCTTCAGTGTAAAGTTTTATAAGGGCATTAAAAGTTTAGATAATTTAGAAATAAATCTCTGAGATATTACTGTCTTTTCCATAGCCTCTTTTAGCTTCTTCCCTAATAAATTCTCATGCTTTTCCATAACTCACTATGTTATACAAACGTAGCTGTGAAGTAGAAGGAACTGGCTTCAAAATAGCTTCTATCTGAACTGCAAAAATCATCCACTTAATTCTTGTTGCGTGAGAGCTTGAGCATATGAATCTCATACAGATGATGGCCAGAAAATGGTTTTCTGTGCGTGGCTAGCTCCTGAATTCCTATTGAAAGGTTACTTTTACCATTCCTTGGCACAGTTTAATGGTGTGCTATGATGCTTAGAGTAAATGGATTTTAAAAATGGGTTAAAAATTTAAACTTACCATTACAAATTAAACCAAATAACTGACGTTTCAGCAGCAGAGTGGATTACGTTGGTGTGCAGGCAATAGTGAGGGGAGACCTGGGCCTGGGACCCCCAGCCCTTACATCTGGTGCTAATTTTGTGCAGTTTATCTAAAGTGTGAGTTTTCTGAAGGCTTCTTTTCAAGTTCTAATCTTTCTAAAATGAGGCTGATTTTCTGAGGGAAGGATTCTAGATATGAAAATGTTTTGCATTTTTAGGGTTTTATAGAAACCCACATATATGTTACCAAAGTATAGGTGGGCATAGTTTTAGCTGTGATTGAGATCTACACATTTAATGATTTTATGAACTCAGTGCATCAAAATATAAGGAAATAGCAGCAGTGGAAAAAGAGTACACGCCTTTTTATTGTAATTTTCCCAATCCATGTCTCTAGGGCAGCTTGTTGGCAGCCAGGAGACGGAGAGGCCCCATCATACTCTGTCAGTGAAGACTGCCTATATCTAAACGTCTTTGTTCCTGCCACCACTGTAAGTAGGAGTCAGTTCTTCTCAAAGTGCTTTTAATTGGCATGAATGATTCTTTCCATGTGTTGTCCACAAAGCCTTACAAGGTTAAATTAGGTGCTCTGTTGTTTTTGCCAGTGCAAGAGTATTCCTTATAGGCTTTCAGTAAGCAATGATTGGGTAAAACTACAAGGGTGGCGAATTAAAAAGCTTGAAGACAGTGGAGACAAAACACAAGAAGAAGGTGGCAGCAAAGGAGAGGAAATTAAGGACAGAAATGTGAATGTCCCTGAAATGAGACCCTTTGTCCAGGAGATAATAACACAATACAACATGTCACATCAACACTTACCACTGATCAAGCAGCAGCAGATGGGTTTTTCCACTCTCATCTTTACTGTTCCTGTTGGCATCCGGAGGAGCTCTGTTGAGGAAGGAGCATAGCAAGCAATGCTCAATCTGTGCCCAGCCCACAGAGCATAAAACCAGATGTTTTAAAGATGACTGGGCCAATGGTACAATCTGAGAAATTGTTATTTGAAAGCTCTTGCATTTCTCATAAACAGATATAAAATAAAGCTCCAAGTTAAAGCCAAGCTTAGATGATTGGCCAAACCCCTGGGGGACTGGGGATAAAGATGCCGAATAATATGTGAATCCCATTGAAGAGTGGGCCCAGAGCACAGGAACAGTTTTTTCTTTCCAGAGTGCTGGCAATTTTCAGAAGGTGATGGTCATTATAATAGAAATTTATGGGTCTGTCATAGTGCATGTCTGGAAAGAGCTGGTCTAGCTATCCGAGAGCAGCATACAGAGTCCCTTGCAGGCCCTTTTTAATCATCAGAAAGACCAGCAGTCTGTTTTCTCCCTGCAGCATCAAGCTGTCATTTTGCCTTGAGTGAAGTCATTGCTTATTGAAAACATCAGGTCACTGTCCCAGGCAATTTGCCATCTCCGCTTAAGAGCTGCTTTCAAGATAGCTTACTTGAAAGCATTGTATTTTCTGCCATCTGATAAATAGTCTGTCTTTTCTCCTTAGTGGTACTGTGAACTGAATCCCTCCGTTTTTTTGTAGAGGTGTAAGGTAGAAATAGGTCTGATCAAGTCAATCAGTTTTACATGCATAAGTCTGGCCCAAGAGAGGAACAAAACTTCTGGTTTTGTAGAAGTAGCTGGGAGCAGAAGGAAACATTTTCCTGCTTCTTTATGCGGTGAGCACTATTTTTTACTCACATACAGAGAGCTATAGTTATATATTTTCAGCCCACGGAAAGTTAAATTAGCCAGTAAATACTGAATATAAAATCTCTTGGAGAGCAGGAAATGCAGAGGTTGTTCAGGAGAATTTTGAGCCTGGACAAGAGCATGGTGCAGGGACTGCTGCTGGTCACCAGAGGACTCTTTAAGTGTCAGGCACTGAAGAAGGTGAATGACATCACCTCATTTTGCTTCCATAGCTACGTGTACCACATAACCCTCCAAGTAAAACTGGCACTTCTGAGAGACTTTTTTCCACCTATAACCATCACCACCTGTCACACCAGCAAAGCAAAGCTGTGCCTCAGCTTGATTTACAAAGGTTCCAATATAAAATCAAGAGCTGAAGCTCTTCACTAAGCAAGAATAGAAGCTGCACCCCCTCTCCTCTTCTCCCATCCCCTGCATGTATTATTCCCACCCTTATCGCACCATCGCTGTTGGACTCAATTCTTTACAAAGCAATATTGTAGAGTAGTTAAAGCAGTGGAGGTTGCCTGGCTGGATAGAGTTTAAATCTAGCCCTGCCAAATAGCTTATTAAGGGCTTTACAGTTGTGTGGAGAAGATGGTTCTGAATATTATGAAGCCTTTCAGACTTCCAGCTGACTTGCAGCTTCCTGGTGGATGCTGAGCTTTTCTCTCCCTTCGGATTTTGCACATGGGACTTAAGGCCCTACAGGCAGGAGACCATGGTGGAGGTGCTGTGCTCCCCAGAAGATATGCCCCCACTAGCTAAGCCAGAGAGCCATCTGCCCCTGTCCCAGCTGGAAGTCTTCGCACGGATTTTACACCTCAAAGTGTAACTGCCAGCATTTTGTTGCAAAGTATGGAGTAAAACCCTGCACTGGCCAGTAGCCATGTGGTAGCCATGGCTCGTCCACCAGGAACGTGCTGGCCCCACTCTGTCTGTGTGCCACTGCAGCCTGGCATTGACACTGGTGCTGCATCTGAGCTTGGTACTAAGTGGTGGTGGGTGAAGGGACTGGCTCCAGCAGGCTTCATTTAAGGTCTTGTGTTTCTTGTGCCTCAAGGATTTAATTGCAGTGGTTGGTTAAATTTGGTTGAGAACAGGCTTGGGGGAAGTTCGCTAATATCCAAAATAAATTTTCACCAGCTTATGTATAGTAAAAACTTAACTGGCTAACAAATATATAGAGAGAGATAGACAGGGGACATGAAATACCTCGTATTGTGAGGCATAGTTCAACTAAAGCATGAAAATGACTGTACTATGCTGTTGAAAGGGCTAACAAGAAACGCTGAGGCAATCACGTTAAACAGCCTTCATCTAAAATGTCCAAATCCATGAGTTCTGAGATTGAAATCCCTTGGGATTAAAACCCAAATTATTTTTCGTGATATTTTACCTTTGCAAAAGAGAGTGATTTGTCATTGCTCAATGCAGACTAGAAATGGGAACGATATGTCCAGACACTTGGCACGAGGCACAGCCCCAGTACTAAATCTTCCCCTAAATTGCTCCATATCTGTTGCAGCAGGCTTTGTTTTTCTGGTTTTAACTTTTATCTCCTGTTTTTTGCCTTTCTTAAGCTTTTCATCACTACAGCATTGGCTAAAGGTGCTCGGCACAATGTAATACACAACTTAGAGGGCACCTGGAGGTCATGATGCTTTGCAGGCTGTGGACACATCAGAAATGCCTGGTTTGAACCTCAGGTTTAACTGTCTTGAGCGGAGGGGATGGAACAGGCTCAACATCACGTTTAATACTGTTTTAGCTGACATGGCTCAGTGTGGTTCTATTTTAGAATGAATTTCCGTGTGAAAACAGATTCTTTCAATGTTTTCTTTACCCCTACCTCTCTCTCTGTGCTACATACGGTGCAGAAATAGGAACCAGAGACCACTGTGAATTAGGCAATTTCTATTCAGGAGCAGAAGTTCCTGAGAGCAAGCAGCATGTTTCAGTGCTTGCAGTTTCTTGGGTTTTCTTGGTAACACTGTTGTGTTTACAAGAAGCCTCTGAAGTGATTCTCCAGATAGATAAGTGAGGAGTGCATGCAATCATCACAAATTAATGGCAGATGAGAGGGGTTTGCCTCCTATCCTGTAGTTTTGAAGCCATCACTTCCCTGCTGTTCCTCCCATACCGCCAGAGACATCCTTTGCCAGAGCAGATGGGACTGCTGTGTCTAGCTGAGCCCCATCCAGAAAATAACAGCAGCAAAGCCCAATGCCCTCTAGCTGCAGGGAGAGAAGCAAACCTCAGGTGTACCCTGATGCTGCAGCAGGGGCCACCAGCCCTTCTTTGCAAACCATCACCAGCTGCCAAAGCAGGGAGTGGGACTGGTATTTCTTCAGAGTGTCATCTCGACAGAGCTGTGATCTGGTGGTAAATGGTGAGGTCTCCTGGTGCACTTCTGCTTTTGTGCTGCTCCCGCAGCAGCAGCCTGGCCGCAGCCCTGCTGTGCATGCAGAGAGGGTCCACACACACGTGTTGCTGCTTCTGTTTCTGTGCAAAATCGTGTGGCTCTGCAAGGAGCACTAACATAGGCAGCAGCCCATTGTATCTCCTGCCTATCCCAGGAGTCCTGCTGGGCTCTTCTGGGGCAGACTCCCCCTGTGCTTTGTCAGAGGTGACTCTTCTGTGCACAGAAAAGTCCACTCTGCAGGACTCCTCTATATATTTAATAGGGGAAAACCTGCATTGAAGGAGCAACGAGGAGTTCTTGTCCAGTGAGATTTTGGAGACTAGGCAGTATTTAGTTCTGAAGACTCAAGAGCAGGAAGCAGCCCTGCACAGCTATTGAGTT